TTGTTCAAGGTATTTATTGGTTGATCACTGCAGATATCTTTATCAATTACCCCCGGGAAAACAAAATCATACCTGTGGAGGGGCAAATATCTGGGCAGATGTCAGTAGAGGAGGTGCAATGTTCTGTCCAGCAGGATCATATTGTCCAACAAATACAGAAGAAAACTCCTGCAGCAGCGGGTATCAATCTTTATCCTTACACTTCAAGAATAAGCTGAGAACAATGTTGTTGGTTTCAACTTTGGTTTAAAGAAATACTGAAATACCAAACATTGAGCTTTTATCTGATCAGATGTACACTTTTAGGACTTGAGTTATACTTTCCGTCCTCTGTACCCTTTTGTCTCTGTTATGTTGATATTTAAAAATAGTTGCAGCTTCTGAGATCTTAATGTCAATTTTCTTCCTCCCAAAATTTCAGGAATTACTGCCGCATGGGATCTACATCTGAGACACGTGAGTCTCTTATTGCAGCGTGTATAGTTTTGTATTTTATGGTCTAACACATTAAAAAAATTTCTTGGCAAATGATTAAAACTATTTTTTCAACCAATGAATTTGCCACTGATCAATTTTCTGCACCTCTTGATTCACTGATCATTTAACACAGAAAAATAAACTTTCAGGTTGCTACAAATTGACTTCATGTAATTCCAACACAACTAGGCAGAATATCACTGCATATGGTTTAGTGCTAATCGTAAGTATTTCCATATAAAATGTATTTCCACCAAATACATGCTTTGTGGCTGCTCTGCTGTTCTTATGTTATCGACACGTTGCATGCGAAGTCCATTTAATCATTTGTTGAACATCGACGCTCATTAGAAGCCAAAAAATTGGATAGGTAGACAAAGAAAACAAGCTGCACATTTTTATTTACCATACTTAGGATTGCGAACTAGCAAGAAGAGGCAAAGGGGAGTTCCAGATTCTCGTGTCAAATCAAATTTTTTCTCATTTGTTCTCCACCATATTTGAAAAACTTCTAAGTTCCTATTACTAAGATTCGCTAAATGGAATACTTTCTCTTTTCTGGCCCTGTCCTGAGTCGAGATTATATTTTAATTTGATTGATTAAATCTGCCATCTATAAATGTTAAAACTATACAATACGAGGTTTAGTGCAATATCTTCACCTGACGTTTTTATACTCTTATTTTTAGCATTCTTGTTGTCGACAACAAGAAGTTTGGTAGAAAATCAAGCAGCTTTAATCCCTAACTCATTAGTTGACTCACACTGTCTTAAAAAATTAAGAGCAATTGTGTGGATCCTTCATGCCCTGATTCTAATCTTAGTTTTTGACTGACTGATTTACTGCAGTTATAGAAGAATATTCATTATAGATAATTTATTACAAGTCTCTTCTGATGCAACCACAACCAACGCCCAAGATTTCCTCTCATTTTTGCAGGCTGCGACGAGTACTCTGTTGTTCATCTTCTATAACTGTTCTGAGAAAGTTATCATTATTAGGGAAAGAAGATATGCCAAATCAAGGGAAGTTGCAGTGAGAAGTGTAAAGGACAAGGCTCAAGCTCAGGCAAGGTGGATGGCTGCAGCGGAAGCAGTTAAGAAGAGAGCAATTGAGATGCAATCTCAACTTTCCCGCTCGTTCTCTCGTAGAAATATCATTGTGCCTAACGACCAGGTTAGAATACTGAACCAAACAGAATCTGAAAGAGATGACTATTTGCCTCACTACCTACAGCCTTACAATTCTAGTGCATCTCAGCAATTTGATGCTTCATCTGAAGGAAGGGAAACAGAACCCTATCATCTATATGAGATTGAAGAATGTTCTGATAGTTTCAAAGATTCAAATATAGACATCAAAGGTACGGAAATCAAGAAAAAATCAAAGGAGAAACATATTCGTACAAATACCCAAATTTTCAAGTTTGCATATGATCAACTTGAAAAGGAGAAAGCCCAACAGCAGCAGAACAAGGACCTTACTTTCTCTGGAGTGATTTCAATGGCAATGAATAATGAGACCATGAGAAGACCTAGAATGGAGATTGCATTCAAAGACCTTACCGTTACTCTAAAACAAAAGAAGAAACATCTTTTGAGGTATGTCAATGGAGAAATCAGGCCTGGTCGAATTACTGCTCTCATGGGTCCATCAGGGGCTGGAAAAACAACTCTACTTTCAGCTCTGGCAGGAAAAACTGTTGGATGCACAACAACTGGCTCGGTTCTTATAAATGGAAAGGTGGAATCCATCCGCTCATATAAAAAGATTGTTGGGTTTGTGCCACAGGATGATGTTGTCCATGGAAATTTAACCGTGGAGGAGAATATATGGTTCAGTGCAAGGTGCAGGTAATTAAATTCTCTGTTATAGTTGTTTTATTTGAGCACCTTCAAGATAAACACACTATTACTGACTTAAAATTTTTACTCAGCCAACATAAAATATAGTCATCATTTCTAAAAGATTATTCATTCATAAATCATCATGATATTAACAAACACACAACTTAGTATTGTGATACAAGAGAAACATTGGAGGAAATTATATCTTCTTGACCAGCGATGCTTCCTTCTCCCTGAATGGATCCAAAGGAACACCGGCAACAATGCAACTGCTCTGCTTCAGTTACATCTAGGTTAGGGACTGTTTGCAATAGAAGCCATCTCAAATTTCTGCACAAAGTGAGGAAAACTTTCCAAAAGGGAAACTGAATAAAAGATTTCATAGATTCAGGAAATAGGAATAGAATATGTACAGTGAGTTTTCCGACTATACATAAGGTGGAAGTGGGAAATATAGCAACATTGGCAATTCAATTACGAACAAATTCTTGAAATTTTCATCGTTAATCATGTCCACATAGAGTAATGGCAGCCTCACAATCTTCTATAAACATATCAGGGACTTTTTGGGCTTCCGACAATGACATGTAATGGGCTCGAAACTCTTGAACATGATCATTGTGTTTCATATGTTGCTCCTGGCATTTCTCTTTCTTGCCAAACTCTCTTCAGTTTTAAAGTCACGTTCTCTTCTATGATTTCATTCTAACAAATGTTTGTGTTTTGAAATCTTTGAAGATTGTCAGCAGATTTGTCAAAGGTAGACAAAGTCCTTGTTGTTGAAAGAGTCATTGAGTCTTTGGGCTTGCAGCCAGTACGGAGCTCTTTGGTCGGAACAGTTGAGAAGCGAGGCATCTCTGGAGGACAGAGAAAACGTGTAAATGTTGGTTTGGAGCTGGTAATTGAACCTTCTCTATTATTCTTAGATGAACCCACATCGGGATTAGACAGCTCTTCTTCTCAGCTCCTTCTTAGAGCACTAAGACGTGAAGCACTGGAGGGGGTTAATATAGTTGCGGTTATCCACCAGCCAAGGTAATATCTAACTCTTTTTTCCTAGATTCTCCAGAAATCTATTCTATTTCTTTAGTCTAAATTGGTTTTCTCATATATCAATATGAACTAGCCAAATTCTTCTTCCTTCACTTTTTGAGCCCACTTTTGACAAAAGAAAAGATACAATGAG